ACAGGGCTGTGTGACCATCTTTCTATCATAATGGTATTATGGCAATTTAATGCATACGTACAGTGCATTTCACCACAGAAACCATATTCCATGTTTAGGACTACATGACAGGGCTGTGTGACCATCTTCTTATCATAATGGTATTATGGTAATTTAATGCATACATACAGTGCATTTTACCACAGAAACCATATTCCATGTTTGGTACTACATGACAGGGTTGTGTGATCATCTTCCTATCATAATGGTATTATGGTAATTTAATACATACATACAGTGCATTTTACCACAGAAACCATATTCCATGTTTGGTACTACATGACAGGGCTGTGTGATCATCTTCCTATCATAATGGTATTATGGTAATTTAATGCATACATACAGTGCATTTCACCACAGAAACCATATTCCATGTTTAGGACTACATGACAGGGCTGTGTGATCATCTTCCTATCATAATGGTATTATGGTAATTTAATGCATACATACATACAGTGCATTTTACCACAGAAACCATATTCCCTGTTTAGGACTACATGACAGGGCTGTGTGATCATCTTCCTATCATAATGGTATTATGGTAATTTAATGCATACATACAGTGCATTTTACCACAGAAACCATATTCCATGTTTGGCACTACATGACAGGGCTGTATGATCATCTTCCTATCATAATGGTATTATGATAATTTAATGCATACATACAGTGCATTAAATAAACTATCCTAGTGTCAAGCTGGTCCAGTCAAACACTAACAATTTGACCAAAATCAGTTTTTTGCTTTGACCTTCTGCATTGATTCTATCAAATGAATTGTCAATCAGTCAATCAGTTTACAAAGTCTTCCCTCAGTGGTAGTTGACTATTACATCATCTTGATTTACAGGAACAGACCATTACGTAGTGAATACAGGCTATTGTCTACACTGTCTATTGGTATCCTAGGTGCCGGGGACATCGGGCTAGAAAGTAAGTGAAATGTCAGATTAAATGATTGAAATGTCTTCATGTCTTCATTCACTC